CGGGAATTCCAAAATCCGGGAATTCCGGATGGGAAAATCCCGATTGGGAATTCCCGAATTTCCAGAGGAGGGAAAGGTCCCAAATTCCAGGAAATTCCCGGAATTCCGCGGGAACGGCGACGTCATCGATCCGCGACCCCCCGGAGCCGCCGGAATTCCCAAAGTTCCGGAATTTTCCCGGCCTCGATTTCGTGGAATTTCCTTTTCCGGGGAATTGGGAAAAGCCGGAATCTCCTTTTTATTTTTGGGTTGGTTTTTTTTGTTTTTTTTTTTTTTTGGAAAAGGGAAAAAATTCCAAAGGGAGAAAATTCCAAGGGAAAAAAATTCCGAGGGGAAAATTCCAGTGGAAAAAATTCCAAGGGGAAAATTCCAGCTGGGAATTCCAGTATTTTTTATTTTTTTCCCACGGAATTCCCACGGAAAAGCTTCGGAAAATCTTTCCCAGAAAATCCGTGACCGCCCCATCCCTGGAATTTTTCCATGGAAAACTCAGAATCTTGGAATATTCCCAAGGTTGTCCCTTCCCCCCAAAACCATCCCAAAATTCCAAATTCCTCCGGAAAAAAATAAATTCCCAAAGAAAACCCAACCTCGGCTTTTTCCTGGAATTCCCACCCCCATCCCCGAGAAAAAAACCTCGGATGGAGCGCGGGGTGAGGATTGGATTCCCGGAATTCCCGGAATTCCAGGAATTCCCGGGATTCCCGTGGGGTTTCCGTACCCGCGGGGGCTCTGGTCCCTCCGGACACTCCGGAATTTCCGGATTCGTTCCTTTCCGGGCCGCAAATCCCGGGAATCGGCGCCGGTTTTTCCAAGGAAGGCAGGAGCTGATCCAGCTGCTCCAGCTCGGCCGAGAACTGCGGGAAAGAAGGGAAAATCCGGGAATCAGATGGGAAAAATCCGGGAATTAACTGGGAAGAATCCGGGAATTAACCTGGAAAAATCCGGGAATTAACCGGGAAAAATCCTGGAATTAACCCGGAAAAATCCTGGAATTAACCCTGAAAAATCCGGGAATTAACCCGGAAAAATCCTGGAATTAACCCTGAAAAATCCGGGAATTAACCCGGAAAAATCCTGGAATTA